TATAATGCAACTTAATAAGGATTTTTACATGTAAACCACTATAATGTAACCTAATAGGGGTTTTTACATGTAAACCAGTATAAAGCAACTTAATAGGGATTTGTACATGTAAACCAGTATAATGCAACCTAATAGGGATTTTTCCATGTAAACCAGTATAATGCAACTTAATAGAGATTTTTCCATGTAAACCAGTATAATGCAACTTAATAGGGATTTTTCCATGTAAACCAGTATAATGCAACCTAATAGGGATTTTTCCATGTAAACCAGTATAATGCAACCTAATAGGGATTTTTCCATGTAAACCAGTATAATGCAACCTAATAGGTTGCATTATACCACCAGACCAAGACCCAAACGAAGACTCAGACCACCACCAGATAATGACCACAGACCAGGTTTCCTTAGTTACAGGAACCAAATTGTTTCAGCGGTGAGGGGATTTTTCAGTTTCAAGGACACTTTCAATACATTCAGTAGTTTCAAGGATTTCAACTGTTTAAGAATTTAACCAGTTTCAAGGATATCAGGAGGTTCAAGGATTTCAGGAGTTTCCACACTTTCAACAGTTTCCAGGTTTAAAAAAAGTTTCAAGGATTTCAGGAGTTTCAATGTTTCAACAGTTTCAAGGATTTCAGGAGTTTAAAGGTTTCAACAATTTCAAGGACTTCAGGAGTTTCAAATATCTATCAAGTATTTTAACAGTTTCAAGGCCTTTTAAAGGATTTCAAGGATTTTTTTTAGCAGATTTCCACATTAGATCTGTTCCGCAGTCAATCGCAATGGCTTCAGCCATTGCAAGTTTCTAGTTAAGTATTGAATATGAGTTTTGAAGGAAAGATCAGCATCTAGCCAAACACATAATTATTTAAAAGTAGATTATCAGCTGCAGGCATTCTCTGGAACAGCATCGAGAAGGATTTAGATTTACTTAGGAGCAGTTCCTGTTGGTTGTGCCCAAAAGTAAAATGTTGTGAGAAAATCAAACCGATTTAATGACATTCTGCATTTCAGACTTTTTTGACATGACACTCATCCCTGTAACAAACAATAGTTTGGTCTGAGTCTACAGAAAGACAGAATGTTAATAAGGTTAATGCCATTTTATGTGGATTTATTGTTTTATAAATACAGTACATATGTACACTATGTAGTCCTATATCTTTCCATTCAAACAACCAGTTACAGAAAAAATATGGCATAATTTTACTGATAGTTGCCGAAAGAATTAATTGTTTGACAGCCCTAATTTCAATACCACATACTGCTCTAAAATGTACCCATTACTTTCCTCCTTCATTCATTCATCTTTTGAAACTACAGGACTGATGGATGCAGTTGCACTTCAGGCCGTGTCTTGTGTCCTGAACCCTTCATAAGCCACATTCTGTTGTTATGTTGTGAAAACACTGGTTCTAAAAGAAAGTACTTTTGTTTCTTTCATGTTTCTACTGTATCATGCCTTCACATAAAAATATCTGTGTTTCTTATTTGTTTTAAGCCATTTGATATTTAAATGATTTTTACAGACTGGGCTGAGTAACACATTTTCTTTCTCTTGCTTTTATTTTTACAGCAACTGCATGAACTTGCTGGACTTGTCTGACATAAACCTATCTATCCAAGACTATGGCATTCTTCCTCCTTTTAGCTCAGTCCTAATTCTGATAAGGAATGGGTCCATAGTAGGCGGTGTAAGCAGCGATGATCCCACTGGTGTCCATCATGTCCTCACAGGCCACGTTAGCCTCTCACACTTCTCATAAGCTGAGGACAAAGAAACAGACCTACAAGTCAGCTCTCTCTTTCTGGTACCGTAGGTGTCGTCTATGGTGGATTATACCGGTGATTAAAGAATAATCTAAATCAGAATTATTTTTGTTGCCATTGTATGTAACAGGAGTCACAACAAGGAAATTGCTTTGGCTCTTGGTGAAAACAAGTAAAAATAGAATGAGGTATGTAATTAAAGAGATAATTGACATACCATTTCTTAAACTCACTACAAGTGCACTAAGTAAGTAAGTAATCTGTATTTATATAGTGCCTTTCAGGGTCACAAAGCACTTTACTTTTTTATCTTTTTTCTCAATCCACACTGAGATGGATTTTAGGTACATGTACATGTATATATACAAGTAGATATACAAGTACACACAAAATACATTTAGCAGTGCAGGCGACCTTTTTTTTTTCACCTATTATGAAACCTTGAAATTCCATCCATCCATCCATTTTCTTCCCCTTAATCCATTTCTGGGTCGGGGGGTTGCAGTCAGAGCTGCACCAGTCCACAGAGCACCAGCCCCTCACTGATCCTCCTGCAGTTGGTGAGTCCACAGGAGCTGAGATCTTTCAGTGTGGGCTTCAGGCAAAGTGGGGTTAAGTGTCTTGCCCAAGGACACAACGACAGCAGTCACCAGTGGGAGTCATGGAGTAGATCTTGCAGTGGGCTCGAACCCACAACCTTCAGGCTCAAAGGCCAATGCTCTACCAACTGAGCCACTGTCGCCCCCACCTTGAAATTGATTTTGAGGAAATACCTTTGCTTGGTTTACCGCTCAAGTTGGAACAGAGACAGGGCTCTAATCTGCCTCGTCACAGCTTGTTGTGGCTCCATGAACACACCTTAGAGGAAAACACGAAACGTCAAACCGGATTGTTGACATATCACTCGATCAGTCACTCAGACAATCTTCCCATTTACTAAAACACAATTCATACAATGTAACCCAGGTTATTTACAAACAAAAATTACAATCAATACAAAGACCTCTTAAACTAAAGAAAAATCCCCAGCAGTTATTGCAGCACACTATTTTGTGTTATGCAAGCTTTAAACTATGTTCTACATCAGGGATATTCAGCTCAGTGACTCTCAACTTGGTCCTCAAAGAGCTAAGATAAGATATGCTTTATTTATCTCACAAGGAGAAATTTACATGTCACGTTTGGCATCAGATTGTGCAAAAGGAGGAAATGTGCAAACATGTTACATGCAGGATATATGTGCAATAAAAGTGGCAATTTAAAGTGGCAATCAGATATAGTAGTGCAGGTTTTTTTTTTTTTCAGTCTTATACAGTGACTTAAAGTGACTTATTGTACAGTCTGACAACGGTGGGTATAAAGGCCCTGCGGTAGCGCTCCTTCATGCACTGAGGGTGTCTCAGTCTTCCACTGAAGGAGCTCCTCAGCTCCTCTACAGTCCTGTGCAGTGGGTGTGAGGTATTGTTCATGATGGAGGTTTTCATTCCAACCAAGCAGGAGCACATCTATACAGCGTTATGTGTGTGGAAAATTCTGGCCATTGAAGAAAAAAACAATATTCGAGACGTGTGTGTGTGTGATATTTAAACATGTATTTGGTAGCACTTTATGTGGACTTTATTGTAAAGTTTAGGTTTTTTTCTAGTTTTTTGGGGATAAATAATACATGTTGTAATCTGCACCTCTTTGTTTTGCTGAGCGTAACACGTTTCTCATCAGATCTCGTCATCAGATACCGTGCCTCTTGTTGTCAGATGCCCGTTGCTAGGGTAATCTGTTGCTAGGGGCAGCGCATCTTTTAAAAACGTTCATCTTTTGAATCAGTGCATCTGCGCAAAACTTTGGCTGCGACACAAACTCATTTTGTGAAACTCCACTCGAGGATTTTTTCCACCAGGAGACATCACTGCTGACCAGAGACTCTCAGACCGCTCCTGACCACCTGCTGACCACCTGCTGACCACCTGCTGATCCCTTCGGTCCGGACTGTAAGACTGTTGAGCACAAAACGTGAGCTTTCCACTTTCCCTGTTCAGTCTCTGCTGGCTCGTGTTACTCAGACACAGTGACTTGGACAAAGTTAAAGCAGGTTTATGTGAGTTTAGACACATGTGTATATTGCTCTTGTGCTGTCAGATCCTGCACGTGCATTAAGATTACACAATAATTAACAACCCATTACTACAACTGACATTTAACATTTCTGAACCTATTTTGAAACCACAAGATATATGGCCCTACATTATGTAACTAGTTTTCACACCATGTACTTTTGGCTTCTGTCACATCTAGATCCGATTTTTCAGACAGAAACCTGAAAAAGAGAGGACCACCCTCACTCAGCTCTTAGCCAAAAGTCAAAAGGGTCAAAAGGATTTTTTGTTTGTTTTTGCAGTAGGCAAAAATAACATGTTTCTTAAGATCACTAGCCTATTATTGTCTCATTTCTTCTCTGTCTGTTGAGACAAACAATATATTGATGACTTGAAAAGAAATGTACAGTGCCTCTAATTAATATATACAGTCTACGGCAGTGTCTCCCAAAGTGGGGTCCGCGGCCCCCTGGTGGGCCGCGAGGGTACTGCAGGGGGGCCGCGGGAGGACATAAAAAAAATAAAAATGATAATATAATTATTTAATGTTAAATTTATAATGTTTTGTTTGTAATATTAAAATATTTGTGTTCATTATTTGACTTGAATAATCCACTGTAATCATTTTTGTATTACAATGTTTGTAGCAGAGGCTATTTCCCCAAAATAAAATAACCAGAAAGGCCTATTCTTAATGTTGTCTTCTTGGTTATTATTTTGGGGGGCCACGCAGACCCGTCAGATTTTTAAGGGGGCCTCGGTGTTACTGAGTTTGGGAATGGCTGGTCTACGGTATAAACGTGGGAACGGTAGATTTCTCCTATGTGAGATAAATAAAGCACATCTTATCTTATCATCCTCGTTCTAGTCGTTTTCAAACATTTCTGCCTCATTCACAAACCGGACTCTTGAGGGGATCATATCTCTGTGAATACTGGCTTTAAAGATCAACACGTAGCTTGGAGTCTCCTCTGTCGCACTGAGGAAAAACCCCTAAAGTGGTCGTCATGGGCGAGCGACACAACATTGTGGACCGCTGCTCTAGACATTTGGGGCCCCCTTTCTACAATCAGTGGGGCCATTTGCACGTTCGCACACATGATAATGCTGACAGTGGAGTTTGTTAAGGTGACGTTATGAAATGATCATAGTAGTTGGTTCCTTGTTCCCTGAGGCCCCTGTCAGCTTGAGGACCTCGTATACCCCACTGTGGGCTCTGCTCATGTGGAGCAGGTGGTGATGTCGCAGCACAGACAGGATTAAAGTCTGTCCACAGAAGTCCACCTCACATGATGGGCTCCTGTCTTTATGTCAGATCAGTGTTTACGTTCAGACGGGAGCTGACTGAGTGAGGGTGGTCCTCTCTTTCTGACTTTTCTCTCTGAAAAAAGTGGATCTAAAGTCACGTCTGTGAACAATGAAATACGTGCATGTGAAAAGCAACAAGGAGAAAAAAACAGTTTTGTCATAGCGAGGAACTAGTGACAAAGATTTTAACACATAGTTTTCTTTTGTGTGGCTTAGGGTTAGGGTTGGGGCTGGTATGAAAGTTATGAAAATGATGAACTTTAGTCTCATAGTACTGCAACGTATCCTTATCTGAGAGACAAAAAGGACCAACTCCTACCAATTCCATCCTGCCCATGTTGAGCTGCACCAGGTCATCGGAGGCTCCTGTGAAACACAACACATACTCACAATTAAAAGTATAATATCTAAGCTCAACATTGTTTTACAGTCCCATTCTGACCTGAAGTGAGGTGAAGTCCTATCAAACAGCAGAGGAGCAGGAGGACCATAGTCTTCACGATTGAGTTGCGTTTCTTCAGCAGCCCTTCAGAAAAACACGTGTCCGTGTTCTCATATATATACTTTTTTGATGTTTATAGATGTGGGCTTTACAGTGAGGCATTGGCTAGTGATTAATTAAGACATCTAGTAACATACACCCAGAAAAATGCAGATTATAAAAAAGACCCAAATGGCAGTTGCGACAAAATAGATTTTTTTGGTTGCGACAATAAATGCAGTTAATTAAAAGTAGTATTTGTGTGAGTATGAAATAAAGGCAAAGTTGGACAGTTGTGAAATTAAACACATTCAAAAATAATTGATGTGTTTTGCAGGTTCTTTGTTGCAGGTCCATCTGCCTCCAGTAGAGGTCGAACTTCAACTGTTCACAACAACAAAGCAGGTCAATAGGTGCAAAGACAAAGAATGAAATCACACTGCATTTCTTTCATCTGTGGTTTTTGAGGCCTTTTTTATTACAAACCGACATTTCCTACAAAACTATGGCTCAAGGGGTAAATGTGTAAGGGAGAGGAAAAACAAAACCATTAGGTTTAATCTAATGCTAATTTAAAAAGAGACTCTGCCACTTTATAGGTTACAGAGAGATTTGGCTACCATATCACGAATCCTGATCTACGGCATGTTTTGAAAAGGGGTTGGATAAAGCAGCGGAAGCAAGCTACCTATCTGTCTGCCTCTGTCTTAAACCAGTGCATTCTTTATGGAAATTATTTTAAAAACGTTTTTCAAAGCATGTATTATCTGTTTTAGGGCTGCACAAGATGTCTTTATGTTGAAAATAGCTGCAGTGCAATATTCATTTCACAAAACGGTGCCATAAAGAGTAAATCTTGTGTTTTCTTTCATGTGTTTCCATTTGCTGCAGAGCGACAAACTCTTGGTTCAGTGGAAATAACAAAACAACATGGTGGAAATGAGAGAAGAAAAATATTTTTTTTTAATTAGTTTCTTTGGGGAAGGAGAATATCGCAAGGCAAGGGACGTTTATTTGTAATGTATAGCACAATTCATCCATGAGGCAATTTAAAGTGCTGATATGTATTGTTTGCAAAGTCTATCACTACTCTCACATATCGCACTTATTTTCAATATCCTGCTGCGCTATTTTGTTTTGTCTATCACTTCTTAATTTATCGATCAATACACTTTGATCTTGGGACAGTTAATAGTGTGGAAGTAAAACCAACAAAAAATCATTGTTTATTGTATATTTATCTCTCATCATTATCGCAATATCTACAAACATGATTCAACACACAAAATTAGGTTCAAAACTCTTTATTCAAAAACATTTGTTATCTGAGCTGATACAACATTTTAGAACACCCCAACATCTCCAGATCACAGCCACATAATAATACACACACTGACGACACACACATTATAATCAATCTTTCTCTGTTAAGATATGTCAGCCTCAAATATAGAAACGTCAGCATATATAGGGACATGTTATAAAGCTCTTAAATACAGGGTTAAAAGTGGATAAAGTTGGATTACATAGAGCTATACTGTGAGTTCTACAGGTGCATAATGACCGGTTGTCAGCCGCTGCTCAGTAAATGTCAGGTCCAAAGAATAACTCATAGATGTGAACGTGGAGGGAGCTCTTTGAGTGGTCAGTATCGGCGGGAGAAGGCGGTCCTCTGAGGGGTCTGGGCCCGTGAGCCAAAGAAGCGCTGGAAGGCCTGCTGGTAACCATAGCGATAGGCGTAGAAGCGGCAGGGAGAGTAGTCCTCGCAGGTCTCAGCACGCCGCTCCGCCGGGGACTTTATCCTGGATCACAGAGCAGACAGGACACACACTTAAGTGGAACTATACTTTGTCCTCTCAGAACGACACACTTTCTTACAGTACACAGACCTTTTACATGAGCTTCTGAATCCAGGACACTTTCTATACAGCAACGGAAGGCCTACATTTTTCTCCCTTATTTCTTCAATTGAATTTAATGTATTTTTGTATAGCCCTAAATTACTATAACAGTTAAAGCACTACAACAGTTAAATCACTATAACAGTCATCCATCCATCCATCCATTTTCTACCCTTTAATCCATTTCTGGGTCAGGGGGGTGGCAATCAGAGATGCCACCCAAGTCTCATAGCACCAGCCCCTCACTGACCCTCTGCAGGTGGTGAGTTCACAGGAGGACGGCTGCTCTCTGAGTGTGAGCATAGCCTTGATCTTTCATTGGGGGCTTTGGGCAAAGTGGGGTTAAGTGTCTTGCCCAAGGACACAACGACAGCAGTCATCAGTGGGAGTCGGTGGAGAAGGTGTAGAGGTGGGAATTGAACCCACGACCTTCAGGCCTGAAGGCCAATGCTCTAACAACTGAGCTACTGTCGCCTCACTATAACTATAACAGTCATCTTGGAGGAATTTACAATCGCCAACAACAGAAATGCAGTAATGACAAACACATAGGAGTCATTGGTCCATAGCTAGTTAGATGACCAATGTCCTTAAATGTTGATAAATGCTGATAAATGTCCTGGATAATCACGGACCTTAGATCCCCCTGCATCAGCAAGGAACTCAAACCCCAGTGGGATAAAGTGAGACAGCTCTTTTTTGTACATAGGATTATAATCATTAGGGGCGGGTCCCGGCTCAAAAGTGGCCAAAATGACGTGCACTGACATGCTTGCAATACCACCCCGGGCCGATGGGGGTGGACTCAGAAGAAGAATTAGCCAATGCTAACATATAGCATTGGCAGACCTCTCAAAAACGTCTTTACAGGATGGACCAAAAGTTGGCTCTTGGCCCAAAGCTCCGTTCCACATGTGTGTCAATGCTGAGGGGGGTGGATTTTTTTGGTCCACTCTAGTTTACTTGCTGTGAATTTTTGAAGTCTCTCGTTCAAATAAATGGGGCTCTCGCCGGCTGACGCATGCGCAGATGCGTTTTTTCACAATTTTCTTGTGGGCGGGACCACTCGCGGCCATTTTGGATTGCTCCAGTAGAGCACATTTTTTGGCCCATTAGTTAGAACGGCGGAGATAGGCGTGACTGTGTCCATTAATATATACAGTCTACATTACGATTATAATAGGGCTCTCATAGTCATTTATTTAGTAGCAACATTTTGTCCAACCTAATTATTATTTGTTCAATTACTAGAATTGAGCAGAATGGCTACAGATGTTGGTTTTTCAAAACAAAAAAGCAGTAAATGGTAAACACATGAACACACAAAACATACAGCTACATCCATATGAAGTGAAAAAGAGTCTGAACTTCTAAACGCATACACTAAATTTTGGGCAGGTAAAGAGGGTTAAGGGAGGAACTATAACTCTTGCTTGTTTACAATCTTCAATTACTTGCAGACTTTTCAATTTAACTGTGACACAGACTTGACAGTGTTCTGGGTCAAAATTCAAACTGTATGTGAATGGATTATTAGGCTATATCCACACGAAGACAAAACGCTTATAATTTCAGAAACTTTTTCTGTAAACACGGAGTTAGCTCAGTAAATGTGTGCGTCCATATGAATGTAGTCAATACGCCTGAAAACGCTGTGAAACTATGCCAGACCTGTTGGTGGCGCTGTGACGCAATGACGGGATCAAGCCCAAACTTCCGTGGGCATGCGCGGAATTTTGTAAACAGACAACATGGCGAGTGGGCGAGCTGGTACTACATTAGTATGGACGAACGATGAGGTTGAACTGTTGCTTCGGGTCACACTGGATTACAAAACCAACAAGCTACATTGTTGTTGTCATTATTTTCTGAGTGCGGCGCATGCGTGCTTTAACAAGAGGCGGGGCGATGACGCAAGCGTCTCAGATACATTGCGGAGAGGCAGTAACCGCGGAGCGGCATATACGGAGTTTTGAAATCTTTCCACTCTGGGACCTAGTTTCAAAAATGTTCGTTTACACCCCCCCAAAACGCCGGCCTCGTATGGACGATACACTGGATTGATAAAGTATTTTTGCGTTTAGGCCTGAGCTTGACTTCGTGTGGACAGGGCCTTAGTCCATACATTTCTATAATGGGTGGCAGCTCTCATTGCCACCCCCCTGACCCAGAAATGGACAATAAAGGGCTTGAAAATGAATAAAAAAAATATATATATATATAACATTTCTATAATAACTTCCTAACTGTTTTCTTAAGTTTGTCCTGGGAAAAGTACCTCCTTAGGTGTTATCAAAGTTATCTTTATTGTCCCACAGGGGGAATTGGTTTTGCAGCAACAATCTTCTAAAAACAGGCAGACACAGTAAAATCCCAACATTGAAGATAACAAGAAAAAGAGAGGATGTCACAAAGCTAGTTTCAGTGCAAATATGCTGTAAAGTGTAATAGATTGTCACTTGAATAGAAACATAGTGATCTGTTAAACTTTCCCCCGTCATCAGAGGAGTTGGCGTCATGCAGCATCATCCTGGACTGGATCAAGAAGTGCGTTTGAGGTTAAAAATTAGCATTCAGCAATTAGCATTTCCGTCTGTGCTGAGGCTTTGTTCAAATGAGGTGCACCCCTCTGACATTTTCCTACAATTCCTCTATTTCAGTGTTTGCTTCCTGAGCGCAGCCTGAGGCCCCAAACTCACAAAGCTAAAGAGTGTAATTAGAGAGAAGTCGTCAGTGCTGCGGTTTCCTGTGGTGTCCATATGTGCTGTTTGTCAGAGGCTGAGGAGCCACTTTTACCTCATCATATTGTAGTAGTTGAACGCGCTGCCTCTGGATGGGTTGTACAGGGTCCCCCGCTGAGGAGCGATGAACGAGTTGGCCCGACTCGGAGCCACAAATAAATCTGAAACAATTCATTAAAGAACACATTATATATTTAGTTAAACTGTACCACACTTGCATCATTATTTTGTTCATAAATCGGCTTAATGAGAAACAGGCTCATTGACTTACTATTTGTGGACTGATCAACGTGAGGAAGAACAAAGGACATAGGGCTCTAGTGAAAGTCCGGGACGAGACACGGAGAGTGGACTCATACAAGTATCTGGGTGTTAATCTGAGGAACAAACTGGACTGGACTCACAACACAAGCCTCTGGACTTTTGGAGTGCTGGGGCCACTTCTGCAGAGCTTCTATCTCTGTGATGACATCAGCCATCCTCTACAGCAGGGGCGTCAAACCGGTCCTCAAAGTGCCGGTGTGGCTGCAGGTTTTTGACTTGTCCCAACCTAAGCAAAAGCACACCAGACTCCATCCATTTCCTCAGGTGAGTCCAGTTTTAACCTCAAGATTTGAGGAAATAGGTGGTGTCTGTTGTGCTCCTACTCAGGCTGAAACTAGAACCGGCAGCCCTTTCTGGAACCGGTTTGAGACCTCTGCTCTACAGAGTGGTCTATTAGAACAGTAGCATCACAGAGAGGGTCCAAAATAAGCTTGACAAGGTCATAGGGAAGTCCACCTCCATCCTGGGCTGTCTCCATAGATCTATTCTAGGAACTCCATAAGATAAGCCAGCATCACTTGTGGAGACCCGTTGGTACTGCATCTTCTGGTGATTCAAATGCAGTGAATTCACCATGTGTTTTGATGAGTTGAACCGGACCATGTTGAGCTGACAGTGCACCTACAGCTTTCACAGATTTGGATTAGAATAAAATGTATCTATAACTACATACATCCACTTTATAAAAATTCCTATCACTGTGTTTAATGAGAGCTAATCCTGCACTTAGGTTAGGTTAGCTTTTTATTCATATAGCGCATTTTAGAGTTCAGATGTTTTTCCATTCACTGTTAATGACGGACGCTGAACACACTGGGCTCTCAAAGCTCTCAACCAACACCCTCCATTCACTCATTACATTCAGACCTAGTGTACATGTTTTTAGTGGTAGGGGAAACCCGAGCACCTGGAGGAAACCCACACAGACATGGGGAGAACATGCAAAACTCAACACAGAAAGGCCCGGAGGTGGAATCAAACCCAGGACCTTCTTGCTGTGAAATACAAGCTCTAACCACTGCTGCCGTATGGTATGATATGATTTGTATTTGTACAGGGACAATATACAGTAAACATGAGCTAAAGGAGAGATGCCTTGAACCAGGTATGTCCATATTATAATATTCTCTATTCTTTACCTCTCTTTTTTGACTGATGCACCGAGCCAAAGGAATTTCCTGGTCTGTGACTTCATGTTACTTACATGGCAATAAAAATTATTCAGATAATAATACTACTACAAAAAAAATCCAAGCTGCAAAATAGGACTTGCTAACTTGTATTTACAAAGCTTTTATTGTGTTTTGAATCCCACTGTGGGATGAACAATAGTTCTCTTATCTCTTCATAATCATAGAACTCCTTAATTTCCATTTTCAATGACGAAAATGGCTTGCAATATATTTACCCAACGTGTTTGAATGAGCAACCACAAGTAACTACAGACAAATGCAAAAGTATTTAATGTCATCTTTGCTTACTTTTCCCAAAGAATTAAATTTTCGCTTTCACTTACCTTCAACGGATTCCGAGCTTTCATGTGAATCTATGAAATAAAATAAAAATGTGTCATGAATATCAGTAGATCAGCAGGAGGCCACATGATGCACAGAGAGGAGCGTGTGGTCGGTGGAGGGAGAGGGCGTACCGTAGCAGAGGCACACAGAGGTGGCCGTGAGCAGACCCAGGAGCTGCAGGAGCCTCATTGCTGTTTGCCCTGCAGAGAGAGGAGCAGAGGGTCAGGGAGGGGGGGATCAGGGGAAGGGGTCTGGCTCAGGATCAAGGCAGATCAGTGTCCGCAGACTGGACGTATGGCTCCAGGGGCTTCTATATGCGAGTGCGGTCTGGAGGTGTCTGGTAAATCCAAACACACTGGATTTAGGCTGAGGGACCTAAGGCCTTGGAGTGTGGAGTGTTCTTAATGTATAAAATTAGATCATTTGGGGTTTTTTGTAGTTAGGAATTCACTGAGTGTCTTATACCAGTGTTTTCAAAAGCATATTTTATGTACTGTATGAAAGTATTATTCCCCCTCAATATGAATAACATACAGTATCATGCTGGAGACGCATGGTTTTGGCAGGTGGGCACTTCAAACAGGTGTAACAGATTTAAAGTGAATACAAAAGAAACACAATTATGACATCATTAAAGTTTATCTTATCTTATGAAAACTAGTTACTTTTAACCCTGTAGGTGCCACAGTTGTTCAGACATTTGATGTGAAGCAGAAAAAACTGGTGCCCTGAAACCTATTAATAGAACAAAAATAAAAGGAAAACTCTTTTTAAGGACTGAAAGTTAAGAATTAATGTGTGGGAGCCTTTCCTTCTAAAACATGAGTGGAATGCCAGACGCTTCATAGAAAGTGACGTGGAGTCGTGGAGATTTAACAGTAGATGTATTAAGGTTACATAAACTACAACAGTCAAAACTATTTCGGATCCAAAGCAGGAGCAGTCAACTCGGTCCTCAAAGGGCCGATATGGCTGAAGGTTTTCATTCCAACCAAGCAGGAGCACATTAGACTTCCCCCATTTCCTCAAGTGAGTCCGGTCTGTGTCTGTGTGCTCCTGTCTGGTTATAATGAAAACTTGCAGCCACATTGGTGCTTTGAGGACCGAGTTGAATACCCCTGATCTATAGCAAACACTTTGGCTTCACTTGGTTGTTATGAGTCATATCTGCGGAGAGGCAGAAAACATCCTTTGAATAATGTACAAGTTTAATACTATGGTGCGATGCATTCCAACGCAATCTTCAAACAGTTACACAGTAGCACTAGTAGTAGTACTATGTAGTACTTTAAACTCTGAGCAGTTTTTTTTTTATATGTATTGCTTCTCATGCATGTATTTCCCCCCCTCTGTCTTTAGATCTTTAGATCATCGTTTTGAATGGAAAAAAAGAAAAAAGGACCACTCATGCTCAGCCAATCAGCTTTCAGCTCAAAGCATTAGGCAGTGACTGGGCTCTTTCTTACAAGTAGGCAAAAAAAACTTGTTTTCTAATAAGACTCAGACATTATCCCCAGCTTTGAGTACAATTATCTCCATGATGCCAAGACATAATTGTGACATTTACAGTTTCTCCAAAATCCCCTTCAACATCTGCTCTCTATTGTTTTGCAAGCCTTAATCCTGCACGTGTCGTATAATGCAGACATACACAGCAGCAGCGTTGAACCTATTCTGAGAGAATGTGTGTCGCACCTGTTTAAACACGCTCTACACATACGATGACCATTTTGAAACCCCACACCTTCTGTTTGTAGGATTTGGACTTGATTTGTTTTCAGCTTTTCAATAGCAGCTTTCATAAAGCAGGTAGCACACACGAGCCCTGGGCTGACTCTGGCATCAGTCAAAGCAACACTTCCAGACGCAGCGGGCCCCAAAAAACTCCCATTCTGCAACAGGAGGAATGTGATGTGCTGACGGAAGTGTCTGCAAAGTTTAATACAATCTTAAAATCATAGCAGGGGGAGAGGAAAGTGCTGATCTGACCGGAAAACTATCAGACAGGCAGGTAAGAGCCAAGGTTTGAAGCTGCAGATGAACGAAGCAGCAATTTCAAAGAAAATAGGGAAAGTTATTTGGATTGAAATATGAGTGGAAATACCAAACCGCTGCTTTATCACCAGTGCTTTGATAAATAATGGAATGAAACCAAAATGCAACTGTTTAAAAAAAGTACTGCTATAATCAGAACTAATAAATACTATAAATTGTTGTTAAACCAACTGTTCAGGCTGGGCTAAGTTTTTTGTGTCTTTGCACAGTACATCTCAACATGATCAAAGCAAACTTCAAGTACCTTATTAGACACACTTTTGTCTTTTTACTCACAATAAAATAATAATAATAATAATAATAATGATAATATTAATCCTACTAATAGATAAATGAAAAGGGCCTGGGTTATAATTAATTCACAGACAGATATTTTCTCAAATGAATCTACAGCCAGTGCCATACAGACAAAAATAAATAAATAGAATAAATAACAAGGGAACAATTCAAACCAGATCTAGTTATTTGTTAGCAAAACAGTTCTAACAGTGGTTCTTTCACTATAGCTTTCACATGCATGCATTTTTAACCTCCGTCACATCTTCAGATCACCTCTTTTTAGACAAAAACATTAAAAAGAGAGGACCAGCCTCAACCGGCCAATCAGCTCTCAGCCCAAACCCTCAAATAGTGACTCACAGTACAGTATGCGAAAGATAAAACGTCTTGATGAAGATAGATGAAGATAAAAAGTTGTGGCATGATTTGTTCACAACTTTACACAAGACGTTTTCTGTTGGGACAAACTAATTATAGTATTTAGAGGGGTAAAAAATTAGCTATACCCTTAACTTTAATCTCAATATGGTCACAATTATCATTATGAATAGGATCCTGCTGTACATTGAAATGAGTCGATCTTGCACACTTACCGTAGAAGTCACCGCTGTCTTGAAAATGCAACTTTTGAGCGTGCACTTTTTGCAGGATTATTTGCCAATTCCCCTCTGCATTGCTTTTATACGCACCTCTGGCCACACACCCCTTCATTACATCCAACAAGTCTCCCCTCTCTCCTCCTCCCTCTGCACTCATCCCTATTTCCACCAGTCAATGGGAGCATGGGTATTAGCTCAGTGTCTCCGAAAGCTCCCACCACTTTATATATATAAAAAAAAAGAAGAGACGGGATCTGGCATGTTTGCATCTATAGCAGCTCTGTGATAGTATTCGCCACCATTTGCAAGCATGGCACGGGCTTCAGAGGCCGCTGTGGCTTTGGCCCCTGCACCAGACCTGCCATCCAGGGAAACAAAGGCACTATTGTTGTGAAGATAGACCTGAAAAATGTAAACATCTCGGTGTCATACGCAGAGGTGATGTAATGCCAGGATACTTTTGATGGAGCCAACATCCAACGGAAAGTCTAGTCAAGAAGTAAACAAGCCACAGTAGCACAGACAGACAAACCAACACGTCCTCAGACATGAATAAAGGACCTAAAGCTTTTTAGACAGGCAGTTTAAGAATGACTTTAGAAGCAAAAACATTCAGAACATTCAGCTCATGATAATTGGTCAATATCAGGGTCGGAATAAATGATCTTTTTTTTAAATTAGTGATAGGAAATATAGGAAAAAGTGACATTCAAGTCTTTCACTCGCAATAAACAGAAAATATAGCAATCCAGCCTTACAGTGACAAAAAGTGTTTTGTTTGGGGACAAGTATTAAGAGTCCATCCATCCATCCATTTTCTACCCTTTAATGATATCCATTTCTGGGTCAGGGGGGTGGCAGTCAGAGATGCCACCCAAGTCTCATAGCACCAGCCCCTCACTGACCCTCTGCAGGCGGTGAGTCCACAGGAGGACGGCTGCTCTCTGAGTGTGAGCATAGCCTTGATCTTTCAGTGGGGGCTTTGGGCAAAGTGGGGTTAAGTGTCTTGCCCAAGGACACAATGACAGTAGTCATCAGTGGGAGTTGGTGGAGAAGGTACAGAGGTGGGAATTGAACCCACGACCTTCTGGCCTTAAGGCCAATGCTCTACCAACTGAGCTACTGTCGCCCCGACAGTATTAAGAGTCACCTACTACAAAAGTACAGACACAATATACTGCAGTCAACCATAAAAAAAATTCCTTTGTGTGGCACATTTAACTTTAACAAAGACACTGATGTCTAAACATTATTTATCGTTTTGTTGAAATATTTGACTGGTTTAAATGTATTCAGAATCTGTGTGGTGAGATTTCATAAACGCTGTGTTGAAGCCCCTTCATTGCTGCTTGCGGGTACAATTGGTGCGCTTGGAAACATCAGGTGAAGCATCAAGCAGTGTTGATGTATGATTACAGTGATATGTTTTTAGATCTGGGTCTGCAGTGGTGACGCCAACCTGGACTTTAAACATTATTAACATAGATTAGGGTCAAATACTAAATAATGTAAAAAACAAACTATTGAGCAGCAGATGATGAATAATGAGGAACAATGTTGAACTCTTTGTGCATGGAATATATGGATAAAATGTTACATAATCTAAATTTCTCGATTGATAATTCACCCTAACATAATGTGCATCATGTTGAATTAATGTTGCATGTTACTCAATGCCACGTATTCACCAAGCCCAGATAAATGCATGAATCATTGAATAATTAAGACCGCAAACATTTTGACCTTCAGGTTGAAAGCACAAGAAAAACAACATTCAAGGGCCTGTACATAAAGACACAGTCTAACCAGAGCTGGCACAGACCCGCTTTTCCAAATATGGTAATGAGTTTTACAAGAAGGACCAGTGTGTACCATTCACTGTATGTTACTCTAAATGTACTATGTCTATGCTTCAAACTGTGTCTCTGTGGACCAGGACTACTCCTTACCATCTCCCAGTGATTCAGATTTGAAATGTCCTGATATGACTAGTTTGTTTTGTCGCTGCAGCTGCAAAAACAACCAGCTACACAGAGGCTTCAGATATAAATGAAGTGAGTTTGATACAGGATGTGAGTGGGCAGCAGTGACAACAGCAGAGCACAGAGCACCTGTGTGTTTCAAGCTAATATAAATACAACTGTTGCGAAACACTTTTTTGGCTATTCTGTGTAGAGGCCAACTGATAAAAACATACAAGTGAAAGAGATCATACAGAAAGATCATACACGTTGATCATGTTTCTATAGTACCATACTGTGGCTTTGTATCTCCATGGAGAAACCAAGCAGGAGACTTTCTGAGGTTTCACAGTGAGAGTGTAGTGTTATGTCAAAGATAAATATTATGTATAATGTGTATGTGTTGATGTTTATAACATTTATAACAAGATATTGAAATCATTTATTTTGACATATGTTCTAGAGTGTTGTGTGGCCTCATTTGAGTGGAGAAATTGTCAAGACTAAGTTAACACGTATACTGTACGTCTGTATGTACATGTATGTACAGTACAGACCAAAAGTTTGGACACACTTTCTCATTCAATGAGTGTCCTTTCTTTTCATGACTATTGACTGTAGATTCACACCCAGGCTGTGTAAGGGCTATTTGTCCAATAAGGAGAGTGATGGGTGCTGGCCCAGATGACCCAGCCTTCAGTCACTGGACCTGAACAAAATCCAGATGGTTTTGGACCTGAACCCAATCCAGATGGTTTTGGGGCTGGACCACAGAGTGAAGGCGAAAGGGCCAACAAGTGCCAAGCATCTGTGGGAACTCAGACCATTTCAGGTCCTCTTGAAGCTCATTAAGAGAATGCCAAGAGTGTGTAAAGCAGTAATCAGAGCAAAAGCTGCTACTTTGAAGAACCTAGAATATAAGACATATTTTCAGTTGTTTCATACTTTTTTTTTAGTATGTACATAATTACACATGAGTTAATTCATAGTTTTGAGGCCTTCAGCATGAATCTACAATTTTCAAAATCATAAAAATAAAAAACTCTTTGAATGAGAAGGTGTTGTGTTCAAACTTTTGGTCTGTACTGTGTATGTCATAGTAAATGAGCACATTTGCAAGAATGACATGAATTGCATGCAATTCATGAAATGTGGTTAAGACTTGGCGCTTAGACTCAAACAGAGTACTGCAGGATGATGCAGAATGAGAAAGGGAAATCAAAACAGATATTATGAGATGAAATTCCTGGGGCCTTGACCCTCGTGGTGTAAACTAAGAAGGGTTGAAGAGCTGGTCCGGCCAAGGAGGCTGTGATAGGGAGGAGGAGGGTTGCTGTACGAATGCAAGCTTTCTGCACAATATGAAAGCTCGATGCAGGCAGGTGCTAAATGTGTGATTGACTGATCGCTGTTACAGCAGCAGGGGGGGAATGAGAGCTGCTTCTCTTTTCTTCCAATCTGAACATCTGCTTTAAATTCATGAGACAAAAGAGTGAAGGGATTCGAGTCAGAAATGTCTCAAATCAGTGTGAACAGATCTTATTCTAGATTTGTTTATGACAAGAGAACAGTTTACACTTTAACTTGCTGTTTGGTTAATTTTACATTTCATATAATTAATTCCACTGATGAGGACGCAGTGTTTCCCACACATAGACTAATCTGTGGCGCACCGCCACAGATTAGAGACCGCCCGCCACAAATTGCGTTTCGTATTATTATATATATTTTTTTTTTGTTACGCTATTTAAAACATGCATCGTCTAGTGCCGCCGCAGCGGTCAATTTGACAGCGGGGAGGGGGGTTTAAAATGTGGCGGCCCTTCGTAACTCTCACTCAAGCTACGCGTCTCTCCCACATACAGAGACCCACACACACACAGCCCCTCCCCTTCGTGCACACCGCGTGTCTCCGTCTCCATCAGCGATCATCGCTGTAAGCAGCTGTGTCTATTAATTTACCGCGGTAAAGTGGCCCGCATCTTTCAGCTCTATGAACATGCGGCCCGCATCGGGGAAAAGTCGGTGCGCGTTTTGTTGAGAACTTACGGTAACAGCGGAACGTCCTTTCGGAGTCACCCATTTTTATCGAACAGAAAGCGCGCTGGGGTCAGGGAGACACGTTTTTGTGATTAAAACCTTATAGAGATGCCACCCGGCACACATAGCACCAGCCCCCTACGATTCCTCCGGCAGATTGTGAGTCCTCAGGAGGATAGCCACTCTATTGTTTACATGTATAAAGTACACAATTTGGTCCGCTAGTGCAATTTTCAAGTATTGTAACTATTTACTGGAATAAGGTGTGCGACTAATTTCACTTGACTCATGACCTTATTATTGCCCTCTGCCACTGTACCAAAGACCAGAAACTTTTACTGTAGAAATATTGAGAAATATTGAGGTAAAGTAGCCATTTTGGTCCAAAATACCTCCAAAATAGTCAAAACATGTCACTTTTGATCTACTGTAACTTTTTACTGTAAAAAGGTGTGCGACTAATTTCACTGGATTCATGACCTCAAGATTGTCCTCTACCACTGTACCAAAGACCAGACACTTTTACTGTAGAAATATTGATTTAAAGTAGCCATTTTGGTCCAAAATAGCCTAAAAATGGTCAAAACATGTCACATTTGATCTACTGTAACTTTTCACTGTAAAAAGGTGTGCAACTGATTTCACTGGATTCATGACCTCAACATTGCCTTCTACCACTGTACCAAAGACCAGACACTTTTACTGTAGAAATATTGAGAAATATTGAGGTAAAGTAGCCATTTTGGTCCAAAATACCTCCAAAATAGTCAAAACATGTCACTTTTGATCTACTGTAACTTATTACTGTAAAAAGGTGTGCGACTAATTTCACTGGATTCATGACCTCAAGATTGTCCTCTACCACTGTACCACTGTACCCCACTCGCCCCCCCCCCCAGCCGACGACCACCACACATTGCCTTCAAACCTGTGGGAAACACTGGGACGTCACTCTGCCCTGAACCCTGGGGCTATATTTACAGTACTCCTGCACTACAGACCGAGCCATGGCAGCTGTTTACAAACACTGAAGGTGGAACAGTGCTATAAATAGAGTAAATGACAGAAACAAAGCTAACGAGAGCCAAAGGTGAGAGCGGGGGCATGACACTAATTACTGATGTCACGTCCTCATGTGTCTGGACAAACAGCAGCA